AAAAAAAAAAAAAAGAAGTACATATTTAAACAGTCAAGGAAAATCTTTAGAAAAAAACCTGTGGGAAATTACAGATAATTATTACATGTAACAAGCTTTTTGCAAACATTTCACTTTGCACATAATTTTCCTTGTTTTCTTTTCTTTTTTTTTTAATACGTAACATCAATGTTATCTATGCGTTGAATATCTTTATATAGTCTTACTCATAGATACGCGTTTCGCACGGTAAATCCACGATTACTATGCTTCTTTGTTCATTTGATGAATAATAAATCAAGTGTGTTTCAAATTTTTAGAATGGCGCGCGTTCCTCGTCGAACAGTTACTATTGCCGTGCACAGTTTAAACAAGAATAGCACGTGTATTTGGTTCCTGTCGTCTACTTTCATTTGCCCTCGCCCGGAGGCACACATAAATTGAATCTTCAATCGCACTTAATAATCATGTTAATACGAGATTAATTTCGATTACATTTCTCTTCTATTCTTTTTCTTTTTCTTTCTCTCTTCCTCGTACACATCTCGGGACCAGCGTAAAAGCTTGCGCCGCGCGGAAACAAAACAACGACAATATTTTTCTGCGATATACAATTTTGTTAGTGGATGGAACGCAAAGGCAGATTTCCAGGACAGTTTGAACCGGTTAATACCAGTTTCTGCGAGATATACATACATACATGTCATGTATATATAGCACAAACGAGGAAATTCGTTGTCTTAATTTATATTTTTTAACTAATTATTTTCCAATTAATCTTATCGATCGAACATCTTCAACGTAAATGTATTTTTACGCACTTTTTACAGTAAATTTGTAATTACGCGATAGTGCGGTTTTTATGGTAGGAGTATTTGATACCGGATGCTGCGGAATTGGGGAATAAATACGAACTCAACACCGTGTATTCTAGGGTTAATTGATACTGCCAGATAATGGATGTGCATGCATGAGAGGTGTCGTGGGCAATATTTAAATGAGTAGTTAACATTTATGAATATTTCATACCGTTTATGTTATATAATATATGATATTATGCATCATCCAATATGATGTTTTATACGCAGAATCAACGAGTCTCGTAAGACGGCTTGAGGATTGTTTTCCTCTTCACTTTTGCAATTATGTGGATAAATATACGTATGTTTGTAATTGCGTTCCGTCGATAGAATATTTTGTATGATCAAGGACACGATCACAATACCATAACAATATTATTCCGATTTCAAAATTATTGTCGTTTGATATATTTCAACGATAGTTGAAAAAGAATTTAACGCTCCCAAAAGTTACAAAAATATTTCAATTCACTCTGTAAATTCTAAATAAGCCATCAATTAATAAAAACTTAAGGAAATTGATCGTTTGTGAGCAACAACAAAAATAATGGAGAAGAGTTAAATAAGTTAATTGCATTATAGGACAATACCTCGCGCAAGATAGATACTGTAATTACGGTAGTAAAATAATAGGGGCACAGAGCACCATCGCGTTCAGAGACGCTTATTAATACAAAATTAATCAGCCTACTAATTGTTCGAAGAATCTCAATCTGCGTTAGTTGTTTGCGAATCTTACGTCAACTTTTAAATCTAGAACTCTCTGCTTTGACAGTATCTTATATTTATCCATTTCTTCATTCTCACACGTCAGCCTTATCAGGGTCTTTCACACATGTGCAAATATTTTAACATTGTCACAGTTACGAGATTAACATTGTATTACAAGAGACTGGCATAAAAAGATAGGAGAGCAATTAGGGTGCTATCTAGTGTGCGATATATGTATCACAATTTGATGTTTCGTACATCATGCCTGAGGCAATGTCTTACTAGTAGAAACAAGTTTGAAAAAATTGCGTAATATATTCCTGAGGATTGTTGCGTTGGTTTTAGATCGATTATCGATATAAATTGATTTTAATCAGTTCCATTGTATCAAGCCATGGTAAAAAAAGACATCGTTGCTTCTTTTCTAGGGTTGAAGAAACGACATGGCTCATCCGAAAAAATGGAGGAGCTGCATGTCAGAAAACATGCTGACGATGCTTACAGTACTTGCTGTAGTGGCAGGTACCATTCTGGGTTTCATCCTAAGGAACGTCAAAGAAGAAACATGGACAAAGCGCGAAATTATGTACATTCAATTTCCAGGAGACATATTCCTCCGGATGCTAAAAGCACTTATATTACCATTAATCGTCGCTAGTATCGTTAGCGCGATCGGCGGTTTGGATCTTAATTTATCTGGTAATTGAAAAAAAAAAAAAAAAACACATGCGTATTGCATCTTTTGCAGAAAAAAAAACTTTTTTAAATGACCGATTCCTCGTAACGAATGGATCGCGTGGGCGTACAAACTTGTTTACATGAAGATGCTTGATTTGGTAAAATGCGAATTACCAGTATTTTCTGGTGGGACTTATTGTTAGGTCATTCAGAGAGAAAATAATACCGATAACAAACGAAAAAATTGTTCATTCTCTATTTTGTTCAATTATTAACTATAAATAAATATTTTTTGTTCAATTAAGCACTAATGATTTGAGAAGAAGCAGAATCAGAATTACAATCAAAAATACGAACCAGCATTCGTTTGTTCGTATTTCGTTTTTCATTGTTCGAACAATTTAAAATTGATCATTTACTTCACGATAATAATTACAGTTATACTCACATTTTGTAAAAATTTTGAATGTATTCAATTTATAGGAAGAATTGGTATGCGATCAATTTATTATTATGCATCAACGACGATATCTGCTGTAATTCTTGGTATAATTTTGGTCTTAATTATTAGACCTGGAGAATACAGTGCACGTGGTATGGTTGTAAAGGATAATATAAAGCCAACTAGAGATATTACAACCACAGATACGATATTAGATTTAATCAGGTATGGCAATAAAATATTTTTATTAGAATGAAGTTCCGATCTTTTTACGAAATATTATTTTCAGGAATGTGTTTCCACCGAATCTCGTACAAGCGTGTATTGCTCAGGTATATCAACTTTGTTATAAATATTATTAATTAATATTATGCAATAAGAATTTAATTTTGTTAATTTTGTTAATTTTTATTTTTTCATAAAATTAATTAATATTGTGTTTTAGTATCGCACGGTACTAATAGAGCCAGAAAATAAAACAGGAGGTAGATATTACATTTAAGGTGAATTTGTTTATATTCGTGTATGTACCTTAAATAATTCATTTTTTTTTTTTTTTAGTCACTATACAAGATTGGAATATATCTCATAAATATGGAGATGGTACAAATACTTTGGGCTTGGTTATATTTGGAATTGTGTTTGGAATAGCTCTTAGTAAAATGGGTGAACAAGGAAAACCTCTCTTATCTTTCTTTGACACTTTATCTGAAGCATCAATGCTTATTACTAAATGGGTTATATGGTAAACAAGTGATATAATATATTATTTATCTATTAATTTAAGTTATGTGAAATGTACTCAAATATTTCTTCATAGGGTATCTCCAATTGGTGTACTCTTTCTTGTTACCTCAAAACTCTTAGAAATTGAGGATATTGGTGCTATTGCTGGACAATTAAGTTTATATTTCATTACAGTATTATTAGGTTTATTTATTCATGGTTTAGGAACACTCTCTCTTATATTTTTCATTTGCACTAAAAAGTTGCCATTTAAAATGATGGGCAAGATGACTCAAGTTGTAGCCACAGCATTTGGTACCTCATCGAGGTAAATTATATAAAATTAATTTTAGAAAATGTATCAGAAAAAACTTGGAATTTATAAATAATTTATTTTTATGAATATAGCACAGCCACACTTCCAGTAACGATACAATGTCTGGATAATATAGGTGTCGATCCGAGAGTTACGAGATTTGTTGTTCCAATTGGTGCTACTATAAACATGGATGGAACTGCATTGTACGAGGCAGTCGCTGCAATTTTTATAGCTCAAGTTAGAAGAGTTCCATTGTCTCTTGGCAATGTCATTGGTGTTAGGTAATTGTTACATTAAATAAATTGAACTTTTTAATTTAAAATGTTAACAACTTTGATGGTTTAATATATTTTTATAGTATAACGGCAACTGCTGCAAGTATTGGAGCTGCTGGTATTCCACAAGCTGGTCTTGTTACAATGGTTATGGTATTGGATACTGTAGGACTACCTGCTGAAGATGTAACACTTATCATTGCTGTAGATTGGCTCCTGTGAGTTATCCATAGTAGCAGCATAGTTATTCAAAATATGTTATTCGTATTACAAATAATTGCTAAATTCATTTATAGAGATCGTTTTCGAACAACGATAAACATTGTATGCGATGCACTCGGAGCTTATGTAGTTGAACATTTAAGTAAAAAAGAACTTGAAGCAAGTACGAATCTCCAGGAGGAAACAATCGAACTAGCCAGAGTAAGGAAAGCAGAAGCATAATTTTATAGCTTTCTTGTTACAAATTGCCAAGATATTATATGAACACAATTTTACTGTGTTCATAACATTTTTTATTTTACTTTATAGTCAATAATTTGTACTAATGTATATTAATGTTGATTCTAATTTTTATTTATATTATAATCTATGTATGTATAATTATGTAATTACTAAGTATTTTAATTAACAGAATGTTGTTAGATACTTAAAAAAAACTGTTACTCTGACATACTTAAAGAAAAAAAGTGATCGAACATTAATGTACTTTAAAAGATCTAATCTCGACTTATTTATATTCATAAATATATTAAATACATAGTATTGTTTTTTATTTTAAAAAAATATTTTATTGTAATTATTTTTCTGCGCGAAATTTAAAATATTACAGATTCCGTAATATTAAAACATTCCACATATTTGTAGAATATAACAAATATAAAAATGATGTTTAAATATTGTTTCATTATATTTCACTTCTGTCTATTTTCACTATTTATTGTAGACTTTATTAATATAATTTTAAAAATACTCTCTTGTAATCATGAAAATGTATTTTTTAAATTCTTTTTATAATTTCATATACTTTAGTTATGTGAATTCTCTTAAAATTTGTTGTTTAATTACATCTTTAAAAATGCTTACTTAATTATATACATATACTTTAAAAATAGTAAAAATTTGTGTTTATTTTCTCAAAGCAATGTGTTTAAAAGAACTTGACACCTTGATTATCATCAAATAAAATTAGTTCTGCTTTTTTATTTGCTTCTAGTATTTTAAGTGCTCTGATCAATACTTCTATATCAAGTCCATAAAATTCTAAAAATAAAAAAAGTTTATTTTAGATGATAATTTTGCTTAATATCTGTCTCAGATACAATTGTATTATAAAATTACATACCCTGATCTGTTGTGTCTTCTCCTTGTGTCAATTCAAATAAAGTACATACAGAACCTATAAATCCATTATCTTGTGCCCAGTTATAAATAATTTCACCCCATTCTTCCAAAGTGTGCCAATAAATTAGCCATCTTTGTTTTGTCTTATCTAGTGGGCTTGCATTTCCTGATTTCGCTAATTCTTCCAATATTAATAAGATAGCTTCCGATGGTAATTTGCCTGTTTGATGTATTAAGGGATAAATTTATAAACAAGTAACAAATTTGTCACTTTTGTCTAAATCTAATTTATCATTGTCTAAAAAGGATACGATTAATTGCAGTATTGTTAAATAATGGGCTTGAATGAACTTCTCTTATATCTACAACAGCTTGTTTTGTGATACGATAATATTCTAGTATTAAGCTTTTCCATGCTGCTAACTGTTTAGCTCTAGTATCTGAATGAGGTTGAAGTCTGAAAAAATGAAATATTAATGATTACATTTATAATTGCAAATATTGCTCGTGTTTATGTAAACATTCTCATTATTAATACACGAATTTCTTAATGATACAAATATGTAAAATTTTCATCAAATTTTTAAATCTAAAACATGTCAAAAGTTATGCTCGTCATAATTTAAAATACAGAATCAACCTAACCTATTAACACTTACGTAAAAAATGGAGGAAAACTGTACTGCCATGGCCATTCAATTTCTGCCATTATTATTAAGCTATCAAAAAATTTATTCGATGGTACAAGTAGTGTTATACTTTTGAAATATTCTTCATAGCATTAAAACATACTTCAACAACAGGAAAAAGTATTTATGAATATGACATCATCCGAATCTGGCTGGGTAATTGATTGGATTACCTTATCATTCTGAAATTATTTGCTTAGAATTAAATTTGCTTAAAATTAAGTCATCAAAAAAATCAATTGGTTATGAAACAAAGAAAATAAATGTAAAAAAGCAAATACTAATTAACAAAATTCGCAAATAATATTTTGTATTTATTTAACAATAAATTCATACAAACAATGTAAATATATGTATATCAAATTGAGTACAAAATACATTTTCTTTTTATTAATTATAAATTTAATTTATGAATATCAATTATTACTGTGTATTTAAATTTTTATAAATGATTATGTACTGATTTTGATAATACACTGTGTCATTTTCAAAATCTCTATATGGTCTTAAACTAGAAAATGGATTTCTTCCAAAATATGTACACTTCACGTGATTGTTTAAAATTTCATTGAGTCTGATTTGTTCTTGTTTTGCTTCAGTTAAGATATAAGATGTTAGAATCAATGGGCAATTTTGTACAGCTAGTATCTCTAAAGATTGTCTCCATGAATAATTTTCAGATTTAAAATCTTCACATTCATGTATTCCTGCATTATATCCAATAATAAAATCTGGTTTTACATATGTGTCATTGTTTATATAGTTGTCATAAAACATGCTACATATTTGAATTGAACATTTTTTGTTGTTATATTGACATTTTTTACATAAGTCTATTGATACAAAATCTACATATAATTCAGGTCCTATAAAAAAAATCTTAACTGTTGTTATATGTGGTAACCAATGCAATAAAATTTCCCAAAGTTCTATACCATCAATATCTATCATATTGGCTGCAATAACATGAACAATGATACTATTACCATTCAAAAGATATTGTAATTTTTCTACCGCATAAAGAAATGTTAAAGGTCGTGTAAGATATTCTGAATTAATCATTGTTTCTTCTACCATTGATATCTGTGAAGCCTTCTGTGGCTTAATATAAGAATTTATGAAGTCTTGTATGTTTCGTGGCAAATGCACGTAATTTATAAGATATGGTACTTTAATTTCTGGTATCTTTCTTTTGTGTGTTATTGAGATTACATCTAGATTAAAACATAATTTTATCAGATTACAGTATTTCTTATGTACAATATCATCCTTGTGTTTTGTGCAAAAACTAGCATTTGGGCAATTGGGACAATCTTCAAGAATTTTTGCATTTTGATCATGACATATAACACATAATCTAAGGAATTTGAACATTTGCTCTTCATAGTGTTCTAATTTTCTACCAATTTTTATTGCTACTAGTAACATGAAATTCATTTTCATTTGAATGTAAGCTTCTGAGTTAACATGCTGTTTGTTATTTAAAAAAGTCGATAGTGTGTTGTCTTCTAAAACACTGCGTATTGCGTTGCATAAATCTTTGTGCTGTGACCAATGTAGCTTTTGGTGTTCCTTAGAACAATAGGAAATCATAGAGCAGTTACTACATCTTTTTAAAGAGATTCCTCCACTAAATTTTTTACAAACATGACATGCATTTGCATAAAAGAAATAATTATACTTGGGCAGCATTTTACGTACAAAATTTTATATAAAAGTGTAAATATAGGAAACAAAAAATCTTAAATATAAAATCTTAAATTGTTATAAAAATGGTTTTCTTTTTTCGTATAGAATGGCGATGCATGCGATTGAGTATCATTTTGCACAAAATTTCTCTTGATCGTTTAATCATTGTGTATGTCTCACATTTTATATAAAAGATCATGTAAGATCTATAATTCTTGATACTAGAGATATAATTGATTTATAAATATGTCATACACTATATTATTTCTGAATAAATGGAAACACTTCACTGATAGTTTATTTGTTATATTCGTTTCAATGAAAGCAACATTGCATATATAAACAACAATCAGATCTTGCTACATAATAAACAAACTTTCGGCATAGAACCAATAGAAGCAATGGTATTGCCATCTGCAGTACGAAATTTAGACTTTCAGTGCCCTTAAATATTTACTATTTGTTTTTAAATGTTTAGTGGTTGAAGGACCTCGTGTTGAAAATTAACAAAATGCAGATTCACTGAATTGAATGTGAAAGAAATTATATATTATTATATTTATAGTTTAAGGTAAAATTTAATAAAACGTACTGTATTAGATAGTTCTAACCTTAAAATCGTGTTGTCCAATAAGAAATGTCATAAACGGTATTTGATAATATAACTTCTTGAATTTTCATGAAAACTGTTCTGAATATTATAAGTTGTAACGCGGACTATCAACAACTATTTTTGAAACTAATGAAATATTTTGTTATCTCTAATGTTTATCGAAATAGGATTATCAAATGAATACGTACAACGTTCCGATTTGTAATGATTGTTCTCTACGATTAACGCAATGTAATATATAATATACGTATAATGTAATGATGATTGTACTTAAATGATTAACACAATTGTTACTATGACAGATTGTGCTTTTATTAACCTTTTTCTACTTTTCAATGTTTTATTGTTTATTAAATTGTCTACTGTTCTAATGTTTGTCGTTTTCTTTTCAGAATTGTTGAAAATATGATTACTCTGAGAGGGAAATTAAAAAAGGACAATGACATAGCAAACTCCAAAAACCGAGATTATAATAAACGTGCGTCGGTCCGTGATAAGTTGTTAATAAAAGAGGTATGAAATTTCCTTGAAATTCTCAAGATTACTGTAACTATTTATTTTAGTTTTTCCTTTCATTTAGGTTCAGGAAATGCAACAAACTTTACCTAGTACATGTCAAGTAAAATTTCAAGATCCTGATTGTTTGCATGAGTTCATTCTTTTGATTGTTCCTGATGAAGGATATTGGATTGGAGGTAGATTTCATTTTCAAATTTATATACCTGAGGAATATAATATGGCTGTAAGTATATTGAAAAATTATAATTTTATTTGATTATAATTTGTGATCAGTGCAATATTAATAAAATTATTTTAGCCACCAAAAGTTAAGTGCTTAACAAAGTTATGGCATCCTAATATTAGTGAGGATGGTAATGTATGCCTATCGATTTTAAGGCAAAGTAGTATAGATGAGATGGGATGGGCACCAACTCGTAAACTTAAAGATGTTGTATGGGGTTTGAATTCACTTTTCACTGTATGTGTTCAAATACTCTTGCTGAAAACTTTTTTAAGATTATAATTAATTAATCATGTTATTTCCAGGATCTTTTAAATTTCGATGATCCTTTGAATCGAGAAGCAGCTGATCTATTTATAAAAGATAAAGAGTCCTTTCGAAGTAAAGTCAAAGATTATGTCATGCAATATGCAAAAAGATGATTCACACCAATGGGTAATGCTATAAAAATGTAATTGTACATTTATGGAATTAGTTTTTTATTTTGGTGAAAACTTCAAGTTTGATTAAAAAGTACTTTCTCAACTTAATATCAAACAACTTGTATTTAATTTTATCATTTGCCTACTAGTCTTCTTATTCTAGGAAGATTGTATTTATTATCTTTAAATTCGTTAATCATACGCAGCTTATGAATGTTATGATACTTCATTGCAGTTAAATTTGTATAATTAATGATACAGGGAATGAGAACAGAGGACATGTCATCTGTACAATATACTTATCCTTTTTATAGAGCATTGTAATGACTGATCATAATTTGTAAATAAAGTCGATATTTAATAATAAAGTTTTCTTTAATTATTTAGCATTTATTGGCGAATATAATCATCATTTTGTACAATTTAAGAGAATTTGGTTTGTACCTTGATTCGTTAAAATGTGATTTTATGTTAAGAATCGATCGGTCGATTCTTCCTTTCTTGCTCGTAAGAGTAACGATATGAGCAGATGGTAATATTTCGTTAAAATAATTAAACGTAACAAATAAATAATAACAAAAAAGAGAACAAGGAAAGAAGGTTCTCACATTTCGATATCATCCCCCTTTTTTTTAATTGCTCTTCCTTGTTTTTTTAAGAGACTGACTAGATGCGTACATGAAATCTTATAATCACGTAAAGAAAATTGGAAAATCGCGTTACTTAATAGTATTTTATTCGTTAGAACGTGGTGAGCAGTTCTTCTTGTATGCTAGTCGATCTAATAAGTTTTTGAGTGGAACCTAACAGATTTTCACTTGCTAGGCTTTGGTTTTCAGATGCTATTTTCGATTTCTCTTCATGATACTCCTCGCTATACTCCTTCAGTCTGTTACTTAAGAACACGGCTCTCTCGCGTTTCTTGATCATAAAATCCGATAACTGTAGCCATCTGTGTTCGTGACATTCTTCTACCATTGGTCTTTTACTAAAATCAAAGTTAAATGTAAAAAAAAAACTTCCATTTATGTAATAAAAATGAAACAGAAGATACAAACCTTGGTGCTCGTTTAAAGACCAGCATAAGGAATCTAGTAGCCTCTTGACTTAACTCCTTGTATAAATGTTCGAATCGATATCTCACAAACAAGATGTTCTGTCTCGTCTCATCAGGATCGTTGCCACGGAACGGTGAAACACCGGAGAGCAGTACGTACATAAGTACGCCAACCATCCAAATGTCTGTTTGAGGATGAGCCGCTTCCTCGTTGTATACCTCTGGTGCCCTATACTCGGGATGGCCAGCTTTCGGTACTAACGTACCCAATTTACTAACAAGTCGAGCAGAACCCATGTCAACCAGTTTCACTTGGACCGATCTGACATTGGACATCACTATATTGTCAGGCTGAATATCAAGATGACAATATCCTCGCCAGTGAAGATATTGTAAACCGTCTAGGATTTGCGTCATAGCAATTGCTACGCAATTCTCCGTATATTCATGTTTACTAGAGAAATATGTGAGAATATCAGCTCCCTGAAGCTTTTCTAAAATGAACACTGCAATTGGAGAACCCTGTGCTTTGTACGCTGCCTCCAACAGCGCTATCCTCTCGTGTCTCAACGAACGAAGAGCTTCAAACTCCCTGTTCACCTGCTTTTCCGTTTGCGTATTCAGCTCCAAAATCTTAGCGACTATCACGCGGTCTGAGCTCTTGTCAACACCCTTTAACACAACGGAGAACTGGCCTCTATATATCTCAGAGATGAAACTATACTTGTTCGAGAGATTGGTGTCAGTCGACCACTCGATAGGATGCTCTTCGATGGAGTAATTCATATGTGGCTTGTCTTCATCGAGCACTATTTCTTGACCTGACTCGGTCAGTTCTTGGAGATGCCTCATTGCTCGTGTAATCTGAACCTTCGGACATCCTGGTAGTCTAGTCTTGATAAGCTTCGACGGGATACCCTTCTCGCTCCAACCGATGCGATTTCGCGCTGCTAAACGGAAGTTGTAGCTCGTGTCCGGCTTTAAGTTTCTTATCAGATAGAACTCGTGATCGATGTTTGAAGCAATTTCTATCCAATCGACCGAGTCACCTTCTTTATACTGGAGATTGTAACACAATACTGGCGAGTTGCCATCGCGCTTAGGTTGCTTCCATCGTACAAGTATTTCTGTATCAGAGACGTCGCCGACCTGGAATACAATTTATCCATCATATCTTATAAATATTTTCATTTCAATTTTTTAATCTAATATCGAAAGTGTATATATATATATATATATATATATATATATATATAAACTTTCGCGTACCTCAGGAGAATCTGGACCCGAAGGAACGACAGCTTCTACTAATCTTGCTCTGATTGCGGTCTGTCCAAGGGAGTTTCTGGCGACAACCTTGTAGCTGCCAACATCGTGTTCCTTCGTCGGAGTGAAGCTAAGTATAGATCTGCCATCTTCATCTTCGGTGACTTTCACTCTATTACTCTCTTGAATCATCAAGTCGTTTTTGTACCACTGAATCGCTGGTTTAGGTCTTCCAACAGCTAGACAAGCCAGATAGGCAGGTTTCCCTTCTTCGATGGGCTTGATTTGCGGCTTTTCACGGAAGAATGGCAAGTGTCCTTCCTTCTTCGACTCTAACATTGCCTCTGCCTCGGCGTAACTGTCCAATCGAGTGCCCAATTCGTGTTTCAAACGTCTGAGAGTGAAGGTATCCGGTGAACCGTATCTACTGATTCTTGCTCGCCTCTCGTCGTCAATTTCTTCGTCCATAATATCCGTGAAGCGACGACGCTCTCTTATAATAGGTGCCTAAAGCAGGCATTATCGTATGACAAATATTCGAATTCATCAAACATAAGTACAATTTTGAATTACCCTCCAGTCGAAGTTATCCTCGGCGATGGTACGAGAGAATCCAGGACTGCGATTGCATGCAACCTTCATGTATTCGCGTAAACGCACAGGGAAGTCTGTGTCACGTAATTGAAGAAGATAGGTGTCCGGACCATTTTGATAGCTGTATAAAAATTGTATATTTTTAATTTATTTCAATACTCTTACGCGAGAATCTGCAACTTTCTATGTGGTTCATATACTCACTGGCTCTCGCTCTTGATGATTCCAATTTCTGTATCAAGCGGTTCCCCGTAAGAAATTTGATCTTCCCAAGGTTTAACCGGAGGTCTCTTTATCGGTGTGTACGGTCTTTCCTCAGGTTCGGGAGTGTATTTATGGGCAGGTGGATAGATCATTTTTGAGGGATGTTCGAAGGCTGTGTTCAATTTGCGTCTGCGGAACCACGTGCGGCAGGAAGCGTTGTTGTACCAGTCGCTGAAAAAAAAAAAAAACATTTTCACACTTATGATTGTCGAGACAGAGATATAGAAAGAAGAGTTTCTTCTTTCTAAATTTTATGACACTGATGACTTTGTAATGTTATCAAGATAACCAATTACTAACCGATATAATTTGTAATAATTCTTCAAGTTCTCCGATGGAATCTTGTACAAATCAAGCGGAGACCTGTCAGCGTAGTTCAACCAAGGATGCTTAAGGGCAGCTACGACATCCATTCTTCTATCAACGTCATACAGTAACAGAGAACGAATAAAATCTTTGGCTTCCTCCGAGATGTTCTTCCAACGATCATCGAACTCCCAGTTTCCTTTCCTGACCTTCAGTATCGTTTCCATGTCGTTGTTACCCCTGAAGGGTGAAATTCCAGAGAGAAGGATGTACGTAATAATGCCAACGGACCACATATCTGCACTGAAAGACACTCCCTCGTTGTTGGTAACTTCCGGCGCCACGTATTCGGGCATACCATATGTCAAGGTCATTAATTTCGACGATACGATTTTTCTGGTAAGGCCAAAGTCGCAGATCTTCAGATCTTCACCTCCTGTGTGTGAAATCAAGAGATCTCCAAGCTGTGGGGAAAATTTATAAAATAAGAGAGGTCGAGTGTCTCCTACAAGATGTACCAATTGATATTATTATAACTATGTATCTTTATATATTAATATAAGTCGAACGAATCATTCTGCACAAAGGTTTATCGCAGTAAAAATTAACCGTTAAGCCAAGATGAGCTAAATGATTATCGTGCATGTAGTCCAGTCCCCATAGTAATTGCCTAATGTAACCAGCAATTTCTGCTTCGGTGTAGTAAGCCTGTTTCGTTAAAGTATCTACTAGCTCACCGCCAGCAGCTCTGTTTTTATTAGTTAAGAAATATTTTTCAATTTGACAGATCTCCCGTAACTCTAGTATTTTTCTCTTCTTTTTAAATAATTAATAGATCGTCTGGGAAAAGAAAGAAAAGGATACAGTTCTATGATTAGCGTGACAGATTTATCAGTCTCATAGGCGTCGTGCAGTCTCAATAATTTCCTATGGTTCAAACAGTTCATCATTTCTATCTCGTTGTACATATACGGCCTGAGCTCTCCTTTTCCATGCATAACTTTAGCCGCGTAATTCTTTCCGGTGCTTCTTTCTACGGCGTGGTAAGTGACACCTTGAGTACCACGACCAAGTTCGTCGCCAAGGTCGTAGAGGTCATCGAGAAGCTTGTCATGACGAGGTCTAATGTCCGACTTCCTTCTGTACGTTCTATATCCGTATTCATGCTCATTCTCCTCCACGTGCAACATCACGGAACAAGAAATGCAGCCGGCTACGTTCCTCACGCTTACTGAGTATAAACCTTCGTCTTTTGCGATGGTGTCATTGATGATCAGAAGCGTTGTGTCCGGCTCGATGAATTCGATCTGGAATTAATTGTTACTCAATCATTCATCACAATCATAGATTTACGAATTTCAAGATTTTCAGATTTTTGGATATGACGTCGTCGTAAATAACTTGCCCTTATTCTCGAAGAGGTGGTAAGAAGTTTCCAATCCTTGTACCACTTGATCTCCGGATAAGGCACGCCGGTGATTTTAGCCATCAGTTGTCCAACTCTCCTAATCATTACAATAGTTTCTTCCGGCCTCTGAATAAACGTCGGATACTCGGCAATTCGGAGCCGAACCCTCTGCCTGGCCTCACCATGCTCGTTAGTCGCGACAGCTTCGTACATCCCTTCATCTCTTTCGAGCATTCTATTGATGAACAACGTGGCTTGCCCGTTTCTTGTATAACTCTGATCGTACCTTCCACCAGACTCTATCAATTGATCGTTGAAATAATACGTCATTTTTGGCTTTGGATAGCCATAAACGAACCAGAACAGGTTGCAATTGTGATTCTTCACACCGTATTGGGTGTCGTGTTCTTGACGAAGGAATCTCGGTGCTTGAGCATAATTGTCGTGAGGTGGTCTCTCGATGTCGAAGTCTTTGGGGAAGTAGGGGCTGGTTTCCGGACGGAAGTCGATACCAGGTGGCAAGTAAGGGAAGAATTTCGGTGGTTCTGGCTCCAATTTGGCGCGGTACGTTTGCGCAAACGGTGATGGATCGCTGATCCCGTATTTGTTCTCCACGCGGATACGGAATTTGTAATCTCTGAAAGGCTCTAGATTCCGGATGTCGCAGACGCAGCTACGAATACCTGTGCGAGCAGTGAACCAATCGCCATCCGGAAGTTCGCACATTTCTACTTGATACGTCACTGGGATACGAGGTCCAATGGGGATGGATGGCTTCCAGGAGAGAGTCAGATGACGATCCATCATTCTGCTGATAATTGGACGATCGGCCAAGGGTAATGGAACGCCGGACTTGCGGTACTTGTCGAAGTCTGTGTATTGATCTCCCAGGGCTCTCTTTGCTCGCGGCTCTAACGCTATTAGAATTAAAAGATGAACGTTACGAAATTTAGAAATATATTAGCTGTATTGCAGAGACTTCGAAATTCAATTCTGTGATATTTACAGTCGTAAATTAAATCCGCCGTGCAAGAATCTTCACCGTGAGGATTTGATATTTTCAACGTATATTTCCCGGCATCTAATTCATCGGCATTGTGTATAATTAAGCGTAACAGGCTGCCTTCTTGTTCTGTCCTGATCCTATCAGTCTGCCACATTTTGGTGCCATTGTGGAACCATTCGAAATTAGGTTCCGGGATGCCTGTGATGCAGGCTGTGAATCTAGCTGGCATTCCTTTGTAGATCTCGCAATCACCGATTTTCTTCAGGAACGACGGTGGTTCAGCCTTTTCTATCTTTCCACTGAAATCGACAAGTCCAACGCTCTTAACGAACCACTTAACGCTTAATCAATAATACAAAGAATTAACAATGTATAGAAAGTATCAACTTACATTTTATCAACCACTGCCAAATTGGCCGCGCATTCAGCTTCCCCGCCTCTGTTCACTGCTTTGCATTTGTACGTTCCTGCATCGTCATAAGTACAATCTTTCACGTACAAGCAGCAAGCATCCCCGTCGCGTTTAATCTTGTATTTGTCATCGTCATGTGAGATCAATCTATCATTGAAGTACCAGGTAACATCTGGCTGTGGAACACCAGTGACACGAGCTAGGAACTTCGCATCGAACGAAGGCAATTGTTGTAGATCCTTGAACGTCTGCATGAAGCTCGGTGGCTGCGAAGTCTTTTTGACGTTAGCTGTAGATTTCGTAGAGTCCTCGCCGAGTGGATTCGATACACGACATTCGTATACGCCAGCATCTTTAGGTTCGCAAGGATTGATCTCCAGCTCTGTTTTCTTTCCATCGCAGGACACAGACAAACGATCTGACGGCTGCACAGGAACACCATCCTTGGACCAGCTGATCTCTGGGATGGGATTGCCAGTGAAATAAGCAGACAAGTTTAATGGTTGGCCTTCCTCCACGTAAACATCTCGCATTGGACTAATGAAACCAGGTTTCTCTTCTGGTTGGTCAGGCAGCTGTTTGCCAAGAACGCTGATCGTTCCTTTGCAAGATGAGGTGCCTTCTGTATTGCCTGCAATCACTTGATACTCTCCTGCGTCTTCTGGCGTCACTTTGTCGATGACCAACGCCTGAGTTCCATCTGGTAAGGTGACAGTCTTTATACGATTTCCATCAGGTATGATCTAGAAAGAGAAAGTTGATAAAAAAACGAACATGAGATATTCTTAAATTTTTAAGATTGTAGATGATTAATTTAGGAACCTCTTCGCCGTCTTTGAACCATTGAAGCTGCGGCGCCGGTTTCCCTAGAACTTTAACTGCCAATTTTGCCGGGAAGCCTTCTACTATAGATAATGGTTGAAGTGTAGTTGTGAATTCCGGTCGTTTCTCTTTCTCTTCGACTTCTACTTTGGCAGAACCAGTGATTTCACCGAGCGAATTGGAAACGGTCATCGAGTACACGCCAGCATCTTCTGGACGAACGTGATCAATCCTCAAACCGATAACACCATTAGGTTCGTTCATGAAGTATATCTCTTTCGAGTGTCGCAATGGTATGCCATCTTTGAACCATTGAACCTGTGGGTTCGGGAAAGCAACCACTTGAGCTTCCAGTTTTAATGGTTGTCCTACGACAGCCTTTGTATCTTCCAATGACTTTGAGAAAGATGGTTTTCTTCTTGCAGCTGAAATTATATTTATTATCTTATTATTATGTGTTTCGCTATGACATTTGACTTTTGATTTAAAAAAACTCACGTTTAATAGCCACGGCACACAACGACGACTGTTCGCCACTAGGATTAGAAGTCACGAGTTTATAAGCCCCACAATCTGTCGGTTTTACGCAATCGATCGTCAGTTTAGTGTTGCCATCCGGAAGCGTTTCAATTCTCGTGTGTTCATTCGGGACGATCTTCTCTCCGTCTTTATACCAAACTATATCAGGTATAGGGCTACCATCGACCTTCACTTTAAGCTCCAGAGTATCACCCTCGTCCACTTCTGTCGATTTAGGTAGAAGGTTGCTAAAGTTAGGAGCGATCAGCTGCATCGTCAAGTTACAAACAGTTTGTGCACTTCCAGCAACATTGGTAGCTCGACATTTAATTCGTGCGATATCGCTTTGAGAGAATGTCGTGATGGAATAGATACTATCCACGATTCCATCCACGTGTGTAGTGATTTTGTGACGATCGTCTTCTTTGATCTCCTCGTCATTTTTTAGCCAGATTACTTTTGGCCTGGGGACACCGCTTACGCGAATCTTCAGTTCTACGTCGTCGCGATCTTTGCATGCTACGCTGGCCAAATTTTTGAGGAAGTTTGGTGTCTCGGCTGAAAGTGGAATCGCGCGATTAGAAATTCTTCTTCTATGACAGATCTTTAAATACTATACAAGCCTTGATACGTACAGATAAATTCTTCTACTTACTGTGTGGAGTTAAAGTTGCTTGTCCACTCGCTTCACCTAGATAACTCTTTGCTGTAAGATGATAAGTTCCTTTGTCTTCGACTTCCACGTCTTTAATGATGAGCCTGAACTTCTTATTTCTTTTATCCTCTTCAAAGTCGAACCTATCTCCTTGTTCCAGGATTGTACCGTCCTTGGTCCACGTGATATCTGGTTTTGGATTTCCCTTAACGATGGCCTCCCAGGTAAATGATTTCCCAACAGACGCGACGACATCTTTGAATTCTTGGATTTCGGGAACCCGTAGCAGATTCAGGAAAGCCTGACACAATAGTAATAAATACTTATACACTCACGGTACAAATGAGTATCTTTTTAACGAGATTGAGTCGATACAAACGCTAGCTTCAGCTTCGCCATATTTGTTCTTCAGTTTCAGCGTGTATTCTCCAGTGTCCTCTTTCGAGCATTTCGGCACTCTCAAGGTGACTGAAGTTTCAGTTAGTTTGTCGTTCGCTGGCTTATTATCCACGGTACACTTTAATCGACTGTCATCAGCTGGAATTTCTTCACCTTTGAAGTACCTTTTCAAAAGAATGGTCATAGGCTTAAAAGCAAAGATCTGGGAAGAAATAGCGGAACGTTTAATTTTTACTGTATTTCGTCCTCGTTTAACAACGTACCCAGAAATTCCAACTATGATGCAAGAGGTAAAAGGAATGATATAAATAATACTACGAAAAACCTACTAAAGGTCAGTGATGAAATTTACCATGTCATTTCAGGAACAGGATCAGCAGTGAACGTAGCTTTGAACTTTTTGTTTTCTCCTTTGGCTGCATCCACATCGTTCAAAGGTTCAATAAACTTGGGTCTTCGAAGTTCGTCCACGGTGTCAACTGTCAGATATCCTTCTGCACTATCTTCGCCAAGTTTGTTCGTGAACATGCACGTGTACACGCCCTCGTCCTCGATGATGGCTTTCTTCAGTTCCAAAGAATAATGTTCGCCGGTAGTACTAATTTTGATACGATCCCCGCTTCGAAGTGGTTTCCCATTCTTGAACCATTTTCCATCGGCTCTTGGCAAACTGGTCGCGGTGATATCGAACACGATAGTCTGAGTTTCGTAGATCGTCCGATCGGTGAGAGTCGTTTCAATGATGTGAGGAGGCGCTAATTAGGAAATACCAATATCAGAATGTTTGTTTCTTTTTTGAATAATCGAGGACTAGATTTTAAATGGTCAGATCTAAAAGATCGGTTTTGTTTGCCGTGCATCTAGAGCGTCCTTGCGCTTGCGCCACGTGCTGCTTTGTTATTTTG